TATCGCTGTAATTCTGTGCCGTGATAAGTAGTGTAGTTAGCAAATTTCTCCAAAAAGAGGCCAAGGTCTGGATTTCTGACGATAAAAGATTTGGATTATCAGAAAAAAGCTATCATATATGGGCCATTTTCAAAAAAAGTCCACTTTTTTGTCTTTTGATATATATATATATATATATATATATATATATATATATATATATATATATATATATATATATATATATATATACCGTGTGAAGATATGTACAAATTTTGCACCTCATATTAATTGAATTTATTTACAGATTAATTTAATATGATTGTTTTACTTATGCCGCCCACTAAATACTAGTATTGTGCATTTAACATTCAGGAAGTGACATGTCCCTCCAGTTTATGTCATTCCTGTTACCAAAAAGAAAATGTTAAAATAAAAGTTATCTCACTTTCCTAAAAACTGTTTTCATGATCCACAATATATCATCATTTTCTGTTGTCTCAAGTTTATGAGCGCCATGATTTGAAAGTGATTTAATAAAGGGTTCAAAGGTCGATACGTTTGTCTTATTGGTAGAGTATAATTAAAATACGTCCTATCTGTTATCTTCTTAATATGCAAGTACTCTTTAAATTGTTTATTCTGCTAAAACAATTAGATTAACTAAGCTACAAAGAAATTGTTTCAATGTCTCGATGATGCAAAAAGAGTACGTTATACTAAATAACGGGTGATTTATATGAGAAACGTCCATCCTGTTACTGTCATTTCTGTTACCATAAATATGGTAACAGTAAGGAAAACTGGACTTCATATCTTGAGTTTTAACAATAAAAACAATTACTTTTATTTTTTTTAAGTAATATAAGTTTAATAACACATGTTAAAAAACTTCGTAAATCATACTGAAATATGTTAGTGCTTCAAATAGTGCCATTACTACTTAAACATGCACTCTTGTAACAGAATGGACAGAAATTGTAACAGGAGGGACAAATTATCCTGGTATTTATATACCGATTTAAGTTTTATCATTTGTTTTTCTTAAAATTATGAAAAATTCTTAGTTTTGAAACAGCATAGAGTACTTTTAATAAACAAAAATTGAAGTGATTAATATTTTTATAGCACTTTACAATTAAATTTCGTAACAGGATGGACATAAATGTCTTTTATTGTCTCGAATTTGCCAGATTTGACAAAATCATGTTTTTATTCTACATTTATTTCTCTTTTCCTTACCAATAAAGTTAAAAAAAATCAATTTTTATTTCAAATGTAGATTTCATTGTCCATCCTGTTACACTGTTTTGTCCATCCTGTTACTGTTTTGTCCTTCCTGTTACCCGAGTCCTTACTGTTACCAGTATATTTTCCTAGTTAAAATTGCTTTGGCAGAGCAACTGTTTAAATAACTTTCTGTAACTGTTTATTCTAATCACAAAAATAATGTACAAGAATGTTTTTTTCAACTATAGCATATAAATATTCAGCAATAAGGCTTCTCATGAAGAAAAACCCATAGATTTTGCTTCTGTTTGGTATATGGTAGTTTGACATGCTTTTAAACGCTCATATATTAGATGAATGTCAAACTTCTTGGCATTCGATGATATTTTTTTTCATTTTTTGACGATATACAAAAGATTATTAGAAAAAAAATTTTGAAATAGAGTTTTACAGCTCTTTTTATGAAAGTAACAGGAAGGACATTAAAATTTAAATGACTAAGATAAAATGTCAATATTTTTTAAAAGAAATATTTTCTTTTATGCAATGCAGTGGATTTTAGGAGTTTATTACTATATTATTCAAATAAAGTTGAAAAAATCAGAGTAAAACCACTTTCATTTTTCAAAAATATGTCATTTAAAAAATGGACATTTTTTGAAAATGACCCATATATACATATATATATATATACACAAATAAGCACCTGATCTTAAAATCAAACATTTCAATTTAAACTAAAACAAGATGTGTTTGTGAAACACTAATGCCCCCTTATAGCAACTTAGCGAAAGTTCAACTTTTTCAAATGCAAATCAAATATGTTGGTACCCAAAGTAATGCTTTCTCACACGAAATATAATCGTGAAATATGAAAGCCCTACCATCTCTTGTCAAAAGTTATGGTCAACGTTAAAGGTTTTTAAAGATAGACCAAACTCCTGCGTCAAGGTCAAAAGTCGTTGGTTTTTATAGAATGGCTTGTCACAAGAACTACATATGTGAAGTATGAATGCCCTAGCCCTAATCGTTGAAAAGTTATGGCCAAAGTTTTTTTTAAAGAAGTAGATCAAACTTCAAAGTCAAAGAGTAAAAAGAAAATTGTATCCAATGAAAGGTCTTGTCACAAGGATTAAAAATGTGAAACATGAAAGTCCTAGCACTAGCCCTTCAAAAGGTATGGTTAATTTCTTTTTAAAAGTAGGTCAAACTCCAAGGTCAAAGGGTGAAAGTCCTTGGTATCTAATGAAAGGCCTTTTCACAAGCATTATATATCTATCTAGCCCTAGCCTTAACCATTCAAAAGCTATAACCAAAGTAAAAGTTTTGATTTTTTGTATAAAGTGTCAAACCTCAAAGTCAAGGTCAGAAGGTCAAATTTGGTGGTACCCAAAGAGAGGTCTTGTCACAAGAAATACACATGCGAAATGTGAAGTCATAACTCCACTAAATTAAAACTTTGGACGAGGTTCAAGTTTTTTTCCGGACAAACAGACAGATATAGAGACGAACACGACAAAGACTATATACTCCCGAATCTTCGATTACGGGGGGATAAAAGGTAAATAATTAATGGGGAGATGAAGAACGATATTAAGCTCAAAATTCCATAAACAACGTAAAATAGGAGTAGAGCAAATACGGACCTACAAAACATTAGAGGTGGGATCAGGTGCCGTGGAGGAGTGAGCATCCCCTGGCGATCGGTCATACCAGCCGTGTGCTCCTTGTCATTATCATAAAAAAACTGAAAAAAAAAATCCTTCACCAATTCAGTATGTAAATAATGGACTAACAATTAATATGAAAAATGTCAGTCAGCATTTGACTCAATGATAAATTGTATTTGGAGACATGGTCATTGTATCGACCATAAGACTTTCGAAATGATGACTTTAAACAAGATATTTTTGTTTCATCAACTTCTTTGCCAATAATTTACCTCGTTTTAGAAATTGTACATTTTTAAAAATTTAAAAATCTCTGATTACCTTTAATACAGTAGTAATGGAGAACCATGAAAGTTGTAGAATCAGGATAGATTGAAGAATTACAAATCCTCTTGTCTTAAGATCTAATGTCCAGTCTAGGTATAGGCCAAGTACAGGTGGACCTTCCAATGCATTTTCAAAGTATTTATTTGTGACAGAAGCATCAAAATTACTATATGGAAAAAGCATGACACATAATCATATGTACATCATCTTCTTTCATTGCTAGATTTTGCATTAAAGTGAATTTTGTTCGAGCAGCCCTGTGATTTGGTATTTGCCCCAACCATGATTAGAAGATGAAATATTTTATCCTAACTGCTGCATGTGATGTTTATACGCCAGCCATAACACCTTCCATGGATGAGTTCGTTTGCAAACACTGCAAAAATAATGAACAGTTTATTTTGAATATATATATAGAAAATTTATACGACATTTTCGTTTGTCAATATTTAAGATGATATATGTTTTTTAATACTTCCACTATTTGCTAAGTTAACGAATCTTCCTTTTTGATAGATGAATTAGAATCCCACAATGGTAGTTTAAACGATTATTATGATTTATAAGCAATTGTGTGAAACAGAGCGATTGTTTTAGATAAATATCTTCATAAGAATCTAAGATACCGTGCATTTTAAATTCAGGAAGTTAACGGGTTCCAATAATACTTTGAACTTTTGTTTGCATCACTTATTTCAGTACGATTAGTGGGATAAAAATTACTTGCAGGAATGTAAAATTATATACATAAATCTCTCTTTATGATATTTCAAAAAATAAAAATCAACAAGAAAAATACATAAAAATACTTACAACAAAAAAGGCACCATAAGAAATACTAGAGCAGCCTTCATTGTATTTTTTCTATTAAACTCCGACCACAGTGGTGTTGCTTTAAATTGCCGATGTATTTAAGTCTGTTGAGGTGTCACAGATATGATCGTTTAAATATGCATACCCCGCACCAAATGTACAACTTATTGAGTAAATGTAATAACAGTTCACTTTTCGCTCCTTTATTTAGAAACATTTGTGAAGAAATGAGGGTAAATGAATGAGGACTAAACAATTTTAACATGATTAGTTGGTAATTCTTGGGGAGGTCTCTGGAAGCTATGGAAGTCTTATGAGAAAAAAAATCAAGGAGACTTTTCTAATTAACCTGTGCTGATATTAAGTCTCCTCCAAAGAGTGTATGTTAACTCCAAAAATTATTTTTTAAACTAAGAAAATAATCATTCTGTTTGAAAACTATAATTATAGATAGAAGTTTATACCCACTGTTTTCTTGAATGTATATGGCATGTGCGGATCTAGAGGGGGGGGGGGCGTCAGAGGCGGACTTCTGGAATTTGCAGAGTTATTAAAAGTGACCTTGTAGTACCCCCTAGAAAACGCAGATCCGTGTAAAGTTGGTATGAAAAGTCATATATAGTAATGAAGCCTTAGAAGTCAACGACTACCCTCCATCCTCCACGGCATAAGTTTTTAACGTTTGAGAAAGGAGTTAATTTTATTTTGTCAAGAAATGTTTGGTTGGATTTATATTTTGAGTGGGGTGGACCCAAACCACCCATCTCCTGAAATCAAATTTGGATCCACGCCTGTACGATGAAGCTAAACTATTTATAGTGAACGAGAGGGATGTAAGCTCTAAAACGTTATGGTTTGGTAGTATCATCAAAGACTCGCATTTGGTTTAAAGAAAAAAATTATTAAAAATATAATTCAAAACTGTGAGTTAAGTAGTAAAATCTATCCATCGTGTCTTTATTTTGTTTCCTGATCAACAATTCACATTGCACTATTCACAGGAGATGTAATATCGTTCTCTGTAGGATTGTTTGAAGTTTCTCCTGAGCCATCTGTATGCCTCTTCTTTTTCTTCTTTTTCTTCTTCTTTTTCTTGTTGTCTGATTCACACTTTTTCTCATTTTTCTTTTTTCTTTTCTTTTTCTTTACCTTATATTCATCTTCTGCCGAAATTGGAGCAAGATGACTTCTTGGCGGTTTTGCTAAAGACTGATCATTCTGAAGACTTGTTGACTTTTCATTAATCTCAAAAACTCTTTGAGAAGAATGAAGATGGCTCCATGACTGTGTTTTTGATACGTAATCATTCTGAGGACTTGATGAGCTTTCATTATTTATTTCAACTGTAGATTTGTCTGGTCTTGCCTGTGATACTTTTCTTTCCTATAAATAAGATAATCTCTCAGCAAGTTCCTGAACACTTCATTAAAGAAGGGAATAATTTTAGATTATCTTCTTGGTGCTAAATCTTTTATAACTTCAGGATTAATCTTACCCCTCCCCCATTCCCCCGTATACGAGTATTTTTAAAAATTAAAATACAGAGTTAAAAATGTCTTCTCATCGTCTTTATCTAACATTTATGCCCTGTTTCATATGATTTAAATTATAGTGATGAAGCATCATTACATCCCAAATCTAGGAAGTATTTTGGTATCTTTCATTTTTGGATCTTGACCTTAAATGGGGCAATAGCGTTGTTATAAAAATATAATCAATATGTATCATAGTGTATTGAAAAACTTGCCTATTCTTGTGCTATTTTCAGTAGATTCAAACGAATTTACATCACGTAAACGTAAAATGATTCAGACTTGCAAAATATTTAAGTAATCAGAATTCTGAGCAGATATACATACAGGAGCGTTGGAGCAAGGCTTTCTTTTTTTGATCACAACCAGAGCAACAACTGCAACCACTAAAGCCACCAGTCCAACAGAAAGCCCAACAATGAGACCGACATCTTCTGTTTCTTCCTGTGGCTTGTTATCTTCAGGATCTAGGTCTGTGTTGTTTGTAGCTGGAGTTGTCCCAGTTGTTGTCTCTGTGACCACTGTTGTCGTGGTGTCTTCCTCTGTTGTGACTATTACTGTGGTGGGGATACAGGCTGGATTCTCCTCCGTAGGGGGACAATTCAGGGAAAGTGTATCGCTAGAGTTCACTGTCAAAACATAAGATTGTCAAACTGTAATTCACAAGGGCCGTTCAAAAAAACCCCGCGCAGTCTGCTATCATTTACTCTAGCAGACGCCATAAAAGTTATAGTAAAATTATAGTTATGAAACTCAATATATTTTAAAGGTTCCAATAAAGTTTGGGCAACATTTTTGGATACTCAAAAATTTCTCCAAAGATTATCGCTATTTTGATATCGCTGATGGAAAGGTACGGAGCAGGACAAAAAATTGAAACAAAAAGATGCGTAATCCAAAATTTTACGCATTTATTTTTCTATAATTTGAGATATTTTTCACAATTTTTTTCAAATATATATTTATTATCTTATCTTTTTTCATGAATTTAGATTTCTGACATATTATTTGAAGTACTAAAAGAAATATGGTGATTTTTTTCTGCGATGCGATTCTTGTGAAAACAACTGCAAAAATGACGATTCCTTAATTGACTGAGCACCACATTTTTGTCAAATTATGTGTAATGCTGGAGAAATCGCCAACAAAGATCCAAAATATGCGCGATAAAACATGTAGTAAACCAGTGTATTTCCGACATTTGTCTACAAAATTTGTCAAGAAAAGAAATAACAAACTGGAATTTCAGACGGTTAGTCCCTATGCGGGAGGGGACGGGCAGTTCATCGACAAAAACTTTACATGGACTGTATCCCATTAATACCGGCAGTTTTCGGGTTTAAAACAAAGAAATATGCTATACTTGGTTTCAGCTTGACAAGAAATTGTATATGGATGTTTATGTTGAGTAGAAAAGGTACAGGTAACTACAGTGTACATGTTATTTGTACAGAATCGAACACTAGAGGAAACGTTGAGAAAATAAAATATTACAATTTTTTAAAGATTTAACTGCATCGAGACTTAATTTTATTTCCTGTTAAATCCCTCAAAATTGGTATCAATACGTATATAATATGCATATAATTAAAGATGCTTTATATAATGTGCGACATTTTGCCCGATTAACGAGGCTAGGGGGTGGCAGCCATTTTTAGACTATTTCAATCTCCTTTAAAAGGAGAGCTCCATATAAAGATATACAAAATGATAAAATTTTAAAACTAAAATATATGAATTTTTTCTTTGCCAAATGATAGTTGACAGCTAAATATACCATATCTAAAAAAATAAGTTAAATCTGGTGGTTAAATTAAGATTAAATTTTTGACCCGCCAGCCTCCTTAAGTCAAATATTTTTTTCTGTGCAACAAGTCCGCGTAATTTTTGAAAGGCTCTCGTAAATGTCAAAATAGCCATACATGATGGAATGGTTAATTTACTTTTTAAGAAAAAAGAACGCTGCATCATCGTTACTAAAAACTAGGTTTTGAAAATGTTTACTGTTTAGATTGTATGACGACTGATTGTTTACAGTTCAACAGATTAGAATTAGTCAGAGTTTGTTACCAGCAGTTGGCTGTATCCAAAGGAACCCTCCGTCAAAGTTGTAAGAATTGGTAAATTTTACAATAATATGGTTAGAAAGACTTGTGTAAAAGTTTGTATTTTGTGTAAAATCCGTATTGTGACTGCAGTCAAAATTATTTATCTCTGCATTCTCCGTATCATTAATTGATATTCTCTGTAAACAATGGCTCCCATTAGAAAACAATCTCAGATCTTTAGCAGTAATCCTTATTTGTCCATCACATTCTGATGTTTCAATGGAACACTCAAGACTTGTTACGGCTGCAGGTATCCCTGGGGAAGATTCGTAATCTTGCAACACAACATGAACATCAGTAAGACCCGTCTTAGAAACAGATTCCGAACTTGACAGAGTAAGGAACTGTTCATCTGAAATATAAACGGCTATTTTTAACAGTAGTAAATGCATAAGACTTAGTATATAATTTGTGGATCCTTCTCCTCGATTAAGTTTCTTAAAACATAAAATCTTACTACAAAAAAATATAGACGTCGCGCACGGTGTTGGTGTCAGTTTCAGTAACGTCAAAATGACGTTATTTTACGTGAAGTTCTAGAAAATTTATTTGACGTGACTTATTTGCTAACATTTTTTATGGAGGAAAAATAAAAACCCAGTAATGCGGCCAATTATATAATGCAGGTAATTGAAAACACGTGTCATTAAATTCTCTGCACCCTTTTGCATGCATATTGCGGGAGGAAAATATGAGCATGGTTTGCCTCATTTGAAAAAAAAACTTGTTAGAAATAACGAAACTTGTTCAACATCGCATTTTAAATTTTCATGATTCTTATTTTATTGAGATAAATTTAAAAAAATTCCATATCAGTAGGGCCCTAGAGCCTGTCCTTTGTTTTCAGTAAATTGTACGATTGAAGATATTTTGCTGATTTAGCATTGAAATATTTATTTTTGTTCAAAGTCCCATCCCATCTTGTAATGAAAATCTGATACATTTGTACTCACCTGCGACAACCCCTAACCCTTATTCAATATTGGACTGGCTATTCAATGTAAACGCGCCATGTACAGAACATTTTATACCAGCACAAAATGGAGTTGACACGCTTTACTGTGAGTTAATTCAAATTTAAAAATCATATTCTTGCATAAATTTTGGTTTGTATTTTTTTTTTCTCGTGTCTTAATTCGAACTCTGAATGGTACTTTTGTACAGATTCTGACAAGAATTTATAAATACCGATACAGTGTACAAGTATACACTGCACATGTTTTACTTTCATATATAAATGCAACTTTTAAAACTTTAAAATATTTTTCTAATTAATCATTATTGGTATGTTTTTCTTTTATCCATATCAGACTTATCAGCAATTAAGAGTAAGTTTTTGGAGAGAGAAAAAAATATTTTGACGCTTTACATGACGTTTATGCATTGAACCTAATAAAACGCCAAATTTTTACGTCTGTGACATTTATGTTGACATTTAAATTTTGTTAGGATTTTGTCACCATTCTACTGAAATTATTTTGGAATATACCAAAAACCTTTTGAAAAGATGCACAATTCATAAAAATCCTTTAATTTTCAATATGTCGATTTTCAATGACCACACATATGATCAATTTTACCACATTTATACAATTATAGTAATATTTATTACTTTTGGACAATGTGTGACATTTATGTTGACATTGTAAAAAGTCTATAAAACAAACACTTCTTCATAGTATCAATTCATTTTCATATCTAGATAAATTTTTGATTTTGCACATTTTGTATTAAACGTTGTTTGGTGCCAAATTATAAAAATGAATTTTTAAAATGTAGATCATTTCTGGGGTGTAGCATTTAAACGCAACGTTTCTGTCGTCAAATTCACTTGTGACGTATAGCTACATGTAGTACATATATGTAATACGGCAATTGTTATTAAAATTTAAGGCACCGCTAGTTAAAATTCTGTCTATAGATCTTTTCCTTAATAACATGGCAACATTTTGTAGAATTTAAAATAATTTCTAACATCAAATTTTCATCCAGCATTACAAAATTTGCCATTTTACGAATCTTAAAAACTTTGCGACATTGAACCTCCAAACTTTGTGACACACCATTTTAGTCAATGTCCCCACAATAAATCGGCTTAATATGAGAAACCTAACATACATATCGACACAAAATATCAGTTTAATTTAAAATATAGTTCCTAGCACACAAAAAGGATAATTGACATGCCATTTCAAAATTGATTTTGCTCATGAAATTATTTTTTTTTAAGTTACCGATGACATTTCTTGTTCCTTCAAAATTTCTTCAGATAACGCATATCTACATCGCTGTCTTGCATTTTGAACAACGCTTTCACGGCATTCGGATTGAACAAAATCACAATTGTAAAACTTTACATCAGTTACATCATATTTTGAACTTTTCTGCTAAATTTTATGTTTGTATTGTTTGTTTTATGGAAATTATCAACATTTAGTTATTGCGTGTGCGACGCTCCTGTTTCCTGTCTACATGCGTTTTTGACGTAATTGATTGAATAGTCGAATTAATATATTTGATAATTGAAATTTTTTTATCAATATTTTTGTTAAAATATATTTAGTATACAATTACCGACCGAATGATATATAGTTTTCATATACTGAATTGTTTTAAAATTATGGAAATAGCGCATATGCCGCCGTAATAGTAATCATTGACTTTTTGACACCAACACCGTGCGCGACGTCATACTATATTTTTAATTTGAACGACAGTTTTGTCTGAATTTCTGAGGTTACATCGATAAACTTTGATATTTCAATAAAAGTCGGAAGTACCAGTATGCAATATTTAAAGATCGAATGTGAATGAAAATAGAGTTTGCTTGTCTTAATAAACTGGCCAAATTACACATGAGAGATAAATAAAACATGAAAACTAGCCTGTCCTATACTGGCCTTGTGACACGTCAAGGCATACTTTAAATCAACTTTTATTCGCGACGACTTTATTTCGAAATTTACCGGGCATAAACTAGTTCGCTACAATTAATTTTCGTGATGGTCTTTTATGATCTGTTGTTAAATAGAAAGAGAAACTTTAAGGATCGGTTCGCGGCGAGAAATGTTCACGATGATGAGGCTCTCTCGCGAACTTCGCAAACTTAATTGCAAGCAAATAAAAGATGGGTTACAGTATATATCAAACATGAAAATTAGCCTGTCCTTCTTTGCCCTTATGACATGTTAAGGCATATACTGAATATGAAAACTAACTTTTCCTTTATTGGCCTTGTGACATGTCAAGGCACATATAAAACATGAAAACTAGCTCCCCTGCCCTCTCTCTCTCTTCAAAACATACATTTCATACATTTTTAAAATATATGTACTCCTACATAGATAAATATGATCTTGACATACCTTTATAACACTGGTACTTGAGCTCTAGTACAGTAGTGGTGGAATGATACAGAGTCTGATTACAAAAAACAACTGGACCGGTAGTGGTAGCCTGAACTATAGAGTGACTTATACACATTTCCCGACCCATACAGTTCTTATGATATACGTAGGTAATCGAATCATTCAGGGTGTTCCGATAAAAGTTAAGACAAGCACTGTCGGTGTGGTTACAACACATGGACTCCAGCGTAGAGTTAGTACCTTTGACTATGTAATTAGGACAACCCGTTGCCTTAGCAAGAGCCCCAACTTTGACGTGTATTGGGAACATTTTGTGGTTTGGGGGGCATGATTCGTCCATCACCCACCCTGCTCCATAACATCTGAATGCATAGAGATCAGCTTGTCCTGTTCAAATATAAAACCAAATTTCTATCTTAGGCTGTCATACAGGTTATCTCAAATAAAAAGTTTTCTAGCGTATCCTCTATCGGGAAAGATGAAATAATAGGCAATCGAGATTATGAGTAATTGTGTCATTCTGCAAAGGATTTCATGAATAATCATCGAAATCTGTATTTTACTTAATTAAATAGCTCTAAAATTTGAATTTTACTAAATTTCCTTTGCTAGAAGTGATATTTTTGGAGATTTCATATGGCAATCACGTGAACTTACCCCTTAATATCACGAAAAGCAAAATTACACGTGTCTAATTACTGGTACTTAAGACTATTCCATTATACAAGAGAAGAGCAACAACTTGATAGTAAACTTCACTAAATAATAAATAAATTATAGTTTTGAAAGTATCTTATGTATGAGAAGTATTTGTAGATATTACATTATGAATACGTACCATAAATGAAATATATGCATTGTAGGATAAATAGAAATCCCGTAAACTGCATGTTACGATTCGTTCGTTTTCGTTTCCAACTACCACATGTTAGCTTCGCACGTTGTTAAGGTCACGTAAGGAATTTAAATCTCACATTGTAGACATTCACAGCAAATAATAGATCAATTATACCAGCAGGTTTGCTTATAATTCATCGAACAACTGCATATACACGACCATACAACTCAGACTGCATAAAACATGAACAAGAGAGAGAGAAAGAGAAAGAAAGACAGAGATTTTTTCTCAGGACACCCCCCTCCCCCAGAATTTTAATTTGGCTTTTTCTGCATTGAAATTGTAGGGAAAATTATATGATTTTAAAAAATATAATAATTGTTTTTCTTGTAAAATTATATCTAGTAAACGATTTTGAAAATAAAGAATACGATTAAACATGCTGAGAGAGCTTTTTGTAATGAAACAGCCAGGAACAATTTTTTCAAGACATTTATCTGATAGAATGTCAAGGAAGTGTATTCCTTATACAAAAAAGCAATTCAAATGATCGTTTGTAGTCAATTTAAACCTCCGTCGTAAACATTGTCAAGTATGCGTAACCCTATTGCATTCCACTCGGGCTATCAATAACGACCTTATTAGGGACAATGTGAAGGTTTATATATTTTATTTGAGTATTTTTGTGGGTACACTGTACCTTCTTTTGTATGCTGGAAATTTGAGGACACGTTAAATTGCAAACAAATGCCGTAAAAATTATCAGATTATCTGCAAGAAATCTTTATAAAGGACGCAGACAATTTGAAATTGTAAATACTTTATTTATTTGAATTAACATTCAAAATGTAATTTTTTTTATCAGAACATTCTTTAAATGTACGTCCTTCTTCAATCTTTCCATTTTATGATGAAAAGAAATCTTAACCTTTACAGCCCCTTCAAATACTCAGTTAATAGCTGATGGAATAAAATACATATGTTATAAACACTATTTCTTATCTCAAAAAAAAAACTCTTTAAAATTCAATATGACGAGTAATGCTCTTCTAGAATATAAAACATTTGAGATGCTTAATGCAAATACTTTTTGTCATTCTTCTTTCAATTTATCATAAATATTAGCACTATTTTAATACCATTCAGAAAATTGACTGTTCTTGAGTGGCACATTAAAAAAAAAGATGATTGTAATCCATATTTAATAATATTGATTTAAATATTGTTTAAATCAATATTGAATAAAACAGATCAATTTATTATAATAAAATGGCAGTGTTTAATTAAGGCAGAAAAGTTCAGTAAACACTAAAACGAGAATTATCTGTGCCTTCGATTTCAATTTCCTTAACCAGGTTGGTATCAAAATTGATTGGTATGTGTTTAAACAGCAGCGTCTCGAAGAGATTAATTTATGTGTCATTATTGAAACAGATATAATATAAATTATGAAAATTTCAAAATGACAAAAAAGAGAAGGTACTGATTATACAAGAACGATACCGTGTCTTCAGACATGATGGGTGTAACATTTTCTTGTTTGACACAAGGTTGGAGTAATATTTAAAAACACGAGTATAGACTGAACATTCGTACATACTCTTTTTTATTCCGTAAGTAGGAAAAGCATTTGCGTTGTCAGTATTTGTTTATACTAATGATGAAAAATTAACCTGCCACACAATTAAATGTATATACCTGAACTTATTTCTCATACAGAGAATAGATTAGAGATGTTTGGCAAATGAAAATATTATCATGTTTTAATAAGTTCTATAGGATATATCTTATATTATAAATAACGTTTTCAGTGGAAAATTGGGTGTTGGGATATTTATTACATTAAGACTTTTAAAGATAAAAGAATTTTTTTTACTGACCATTGTGGTATTTTTCTTCGGTTTGATTACAAAACATGTTCAACTTTATCCTGGCATTTGATGAATCTAAATGATAAAGGTAATTTACATTATTGCAGAATTGCAGACTTGTAATCAAATGATAAATCTGCAATCTTAATAAAGTGTAATAAAAACAATTTTAAAAAAATACTACTCACAATTATATCCGATCCAAAATCTTCCGGATCCATTGAAGTGGATTAGATGTGACACTGTTAAATTTTCTATACCTTGCCATGGATGACGAATCTCACAAATGTTACTACATGTATTATTGTCTTCGATTGACATTCGAGAAACATGACCAGAAAATCGGACATCAATTACAGTCAACTGAAGGAGGGGTACGGAATATGTATCAGTGGAAATTTGGCACCAAATATTCCGAGAAGGCTGAAACTTTTGAAGGAAGTTCTCACTCTGAAGATAAACTCTTTTGAATCCTTGTAAAACAGTGAGATTTTCAACTTGTGGAATGAAAATTATGTCTTCTATAATAAATTAAAAAAAACCAAATCAAAGGCATTTATATCACAGATATGAAATTACATTTTGCTATTGTGTTTAAGGATATTTGGTATATTCAACGTATTGAAAAATTGTATATGAACCACAGGCCTTTAGGTCGCTTAGAAATAAAATTGAGGTGTTAAAAAAATAAAGGTATTGAATTCTTTTCATAGGGTACCTACTTTCGCCAATAAAATTCTTTTCAATTAAACGCTTTACAAATTTACTTTCTATCCATATCTATTCATATATAAACATGCAATCTTCATTACTACCAAAGTTCATTCCGTAATTCCTTATACTTCTCGAGATATTCTGAAATCAATTCCAAAATTGACCTTAATCATTTTACTCGACATCAGCTTGGGGCTTTGAAGAGCTACAGTTATTGCTAAGCGGGATCGACGGGACAAATATTCCCCGGAATGAATTTGTTCTAGTTTTATCCATGTACATAGGTATCTTACTCAGTAGTTTTTTAGCATGTCAGATTATTTTGGGAAGTTGACTCTCTCACGGTTTGGTCAGTCTAGGGTCTTTTAAATTTTATTTGTTTTACTTGCTTGTCGTATATATTGAGTGGAGGCCCCCTAACTTTTAATGGTAAATAGAAAATAATCATTCACAGTATTCAAGGCTCTCTTTCTTTCTCCATCACCCCTTCTTCTTTGATTAATCTTTTTTTTTGAATGCCTTATCTCTTTCAGAAATAAAATTTTATAACTGGTAATAATACCTTACGTTTTATACAATAATATTCAATCCTGACGGTATCATATAACGTCGAGTTCTGTATTGATAAATTATGTTGACATATTCCTATGTTTCCATTGCAATGTTGCATAAAGAGAAGATCATGCTGATACGAAATCGACAAAGCATAACCATCGCCGTGGTTTCCCTGGAGACAACTCTGGCCGTACGTTCTGTTAGACAAGACTTTTACAGAGGAAACTGCTATGGTGTCATTATGTGGCTCGGTACAATTTAGAACAACTGTTTGTGTGGTTGGCCCATTATTGAAACAAACCATTTTCATATAAGGTATTTCTGGTAGTTGGTTTTGTAACATCAGATCAACTACAAGTAATCATAAAGAAATAAGAAATTTTATAGAAGCAAGCATAGTAGAACAGTCTTTGTTCAACCAAAAAACGAGTACACACGAGTTTACTATAATACCTGGACATGTATATTGACAAACATATATTCTAATCATTTTCAATAAATTGTTTCACTCACCAAGTGAATATATTAATATGATGTACCGGATATCCATTCCTCCATTTGCTACAGATTTATTGAAAAAAGTTTATATCTTCAGTGCGCTTAAATCTATAAATCTTTATCAAACAGTTTCTGATAAAGGAAGTGTTTGAAATCTTCAAGTTTAAAAAAGATAACGAAGAAATTTCTGTCCTAGGTGTAGATAAATCGATGACCTTTACATATGAATCGTGTTGCCGCTGGAGATACTTTAAATTCCAGAATTGTTAAACACAATTCATTGAACATATGAAATTTTAGGAAATGTGAAGATGAAAAATGAACCCGAAAATCACAAAATAAAAACAGCTTTTTCGTAGACAATACAAATACTGAAGTGAATTCCTTTCGTTTTTGGTATAGAGTGAGTACTTGTTTGACAATCTATAAACTCTGGATCTTCCTCTCAGTCCTTTTCTTAAATCCACAAGTGTGTCGAATTTCGGAAAGCGTGCGGCCCTTGCAAACAATGAAAAAAGTCTTTTGATATCAATAATTATACATGAAGTAAATATTGACCTGGAGCTGCAAGTAAAAAATAATGCAATTGCTGATATCATCAACTTAACATAACCTATTTGATTTGAATTAGTAATGTCACGTATATACCTAAGAGGAAAATGATAAATTACGTTTAGCTATTCAAAGAAGTTTGAATAGTTATATCTACGAGTGTTGTCCGTAAAGTTCGTGGACAGGCTTACATTTAAATGAAAGTTGTGTCATTGATATTTATTGTGACATGACCCGGTGAGTTTTCTTTTGAAGTCAAGCATACTGTAACTGCGATACAGAACACTTTTTGTGGGCGTTTCTTATGCAAATGAGCAGAAACTGTACTGTATCTGCAAAATATCAACGATACAGTACGGTTTATATTTAGCGATGACGGAAAGCTGTATCCATGTACAGACATACCAATCGTTCAATTCGCCATAGAACTGTTAGTATTTACTCAAAAATTGAGGTGAATTAAGAATAAAATTTTACAACGTAAAGGTATTATTGTCGGATTCAAAAATTTTAGAAAGGAGGGAGTAGGGCAGTTAACAAATTATTACTTTGCCCCCCCCCCCCCCCCCCCCCCCCCCCCCAAAAAAAAAACGGAAAATCGTATTCCGTGGGGTTATATTTATAATCAACCAACACCTATGTGCGTCATTTCGTTACTTGTTGACGAATTAAAAAGCGTATGTATACAAGATTAGGAAAAAAAATTATTTACGAAAGCGAAAAAGAAAAAAAAACTCAAAGGAGGTGGGATGGGGGGCACCAGTGAGTGCTGTATTCCCCTTTTTATAGTTACTCTACATTTTAATGAAAACATAATGGTAAAATACCCCCCCCCTTTTCCTTTCATCTGCTTATTTCAATTTGTATATGACGACCGGTGGAGGACATTGTCGGACATTTCTCTCAGAATCTACGATCTCCCGAAGCATTTTTGTTTCAAAAATATTCCCACATGATTCTTATATATCAAAATGTTTTGCATTAAATCGTAGCTTAAACTGAAAAAAAAATGTCAGCAAAAAGTGCATAGAGAAAAAAAAAACCTGCGCAATCAAATCTAAATAAAATTTTTGGAGAACAAATTAATTTATGCATCCCTTAAATAATTATTTTAAAATGATAGATACCTGCACGTCCATCTCACTCGGCATTTCAGTTGCGAATGCTTAATTAAAATGGGATACTAAATCAACTTTCTGCAAAATCATCTGATTGGTTGGGAGGTATGTACCCAAATACGCATGTAAATTAGTGAGGTCCTTGGAAAGGTCATGTCACAAGTCATTTAGAATACTCGTTTCTTACTGTATCAGAGATACAGGGCGGGGCCCGGCTCGAGCTATCGCTCTCGCCTCAAGCCCCGCCCTGTATCTCTGATACAGTAGGAAACTCGTACTCTAAATAATACTTATTGTAATGTGTTTTGTGGGTTCGACCACGGATGAAGTATTGATAAAAGAATTTTCCTTACGTTACTTGACGTATTTATAGCTGATTGGATTAAATATAAAAACAAACACAATCAATAACTAAAAAGTCTGCTATTGAAAGTAATAGCTTGTGTAACCCCGAAATGGACAAGACTTTCATTTTTTGTATCACTAAAACAATACCCATTAGCTAAGCTTGGACAACCATCAATTCATATCAGTCCTTTCAGTACTTTGATTTAAAAATCAAAGTTAAATAATTTTCACGTTTCCCCTGTTGGTATTGACAATTTGAAATTTTTAAATCCAATGAGCACAATTAAAAATACTAATCATTACATAAATAAAATTTCATAAAGAATGTTCAAGGAACCAGAGAGAAAACTGGCGGACAAAATTCGTCGTTTTTTGCAGGTTTCCATGGCAACGGTAGCATTTTGAAACTGAATGACCACACAACACAACTACAACCAGTGATCCTCCTTTGAGGAAAGTTTCAGGGAGATTGTTTCAGCCATCTACGAGAAACAGCGCGTAGAACAAAAACATGCGTACAATTGCAATATGTCGCCCGTGCATATGCTTGCACAATAATCATGGATTAATTTCGCTATATATTGCAAAGATTAAAATGGTTAGCCGAAAAGGTTCCAAATGACGTACTAAAGTGCACTTATTCTTTGAACGATTGTTACGTTATGAGGTTAACAAAAGTTATAACATTAAACTTGCAAAATTTGAATATTCAAAGTTTCGAAATGGCTGAGAAACCGAGTTTTGAATTTACTAAGATAGGATCGGCATTCAGTTCCAAAAAGGGATGTTTTCGGAAAATTAAGGTGGAGCAGAGAGCAGTGATAAAATTCATAGTAGAGATCGGAAAATCACCTACAGTGACCCATAAATACTGTATAAACAGTCTTTAAAACAAAGTAAAGGAAACCCTTCTTTAATATTTAATGTTTTTCCACCCTCACAATTTTAATGGTTCAAAGTAAAAAAAAAACTGCATTTATTTTCATTTGATATTTACCAATAATCGCAAAAAAAAAATAGTTATAGGTCGCCATATTATTAATGACGGGAGACATAAATAAACAGAGGTCTAAGTTAACATAAAAAATCTTTAAAATGCATGATTTTGATGCTAAGAGTTCCAAGATACTTCTTACTTATAAGATAATTTTGAACTGTGAATACCAGGGAAACTATTTTACATTAAAAGTACAATAAAGAAAATATCTTAGAAAGAGTAATTATCCTTGTCACAATTTTTTACAGATTGAATAATTGATTAAATGATGACAAAATACATTTTTAAAGTTTTATAACTTAACAATATTTTTTCATTACAACTATTGAAAAGCATTCATTTAAAAGACTTTTTTTCTATATCCTGTCTTAATCAATTTCTATTGATAATAGTTGTTGCAAAAACCTTATGACATCACAGGAGGATGGTAATACCTTAAGTGGTTGATAAAATTTTTGACGCAAGGAAACAGTTTCCAAGATGATGTGCGACGGAAGACATCATTCCGAGAATGCAGTGCCATAAAAATGAGCGTGACAGAGCGTGACTCTGTAAACAAAATCAAACAGAAGTTTGATGATTTGCAGGATCTGAGAGAGGAAGTTTTAAATTTTACGTATGAAATCTGAGCAGTATGATTGTGCACTTTTTTTATGAGTGGTTAAATCGACATAAAAAAATATTGACTGTAACGTTACCTACCTTAAGAAAAAAACACGAATTAAGCTTTTGATGTCGGAGAACGTCAAAAATTGTCGTTTTAGTGCTCCGGGTATTAGCTATAGTGTGTGTCCTTTTCGTATATGATAAAAATATAATATTTGTGCTTTGTTTTTGTTCAAAACTTGCATATTAATAAAATGAGACATGAAATTAATGAAAATAATAGTTTCATATATTTCATTTATGCTAGTCAGTAATTATCAATGTTGTCCACGAACTTTACGGACAACCATCGTATATTACGTATATATGTACGAGGGTTGTCCGTAAAGGTCGTGGACAACATTGATAATTATTGACAAACATTGATAAGATAGATGAAACTATTATATTCATTAAACTAACGTTTCATTTATGCATATGCAAATTTTAAACAAAATCAAAGCACAAATGGTTATATTTTATTAGATACAAAAGAGACACACACTCATACCCGGGGCACTAAAAGGAAAATATCCTTGACGTTACCCGACGTCAATTTTAAGCTTAATACATGTAACTTTTTATGAACACAGTCACCGTTTAACTCAATACATTTCTTATCTCGCTTTAAGCAGATATCAAAAATATGCATAAACTATTCAGATTTCATATGTAAAATAACATTTTACATCTCCTGTACCCGATCCTGCAAATAGTCAAATCTGTGTCCGCGCGAAAACGACTTTTTTTCATCAAATAAGGCAAAGTCGCGTTACGAAATTAATTTTTACAGCACTGCAATCTCGGAATGATGGTCTTCCTTCACGCATGTCATCCTGTAAACTTTTCCTTCCGGCCGAAAATTTTATATTCCACTATAAATACTAAAGAAAAACTTCCTTAACTATATTTTCTCGATTGTTTACAGCATTTTGGGGTCTCTGTTGATGTTTTCTTGACGTCTACGCAGAATTTTGTCATTGTTCACTGCTCTGCCTTTTCCGAAAACGACCCTTTTACGAACAATGCTGATCCTGTCTTAATAAATTCTAACCTCGATTTCTCGGCCATTTCTAAACTCTGAACGTTCAAATTTTGCAGGTTTGAAGATATAACGTTTGTCAACCCTATAATGTAAAAACAATCCGAATTTCAGCAAATTTTACGAAAAGCAAATGAAATTCATAAAGTGAAAAAAATATTTTTGATTAAAATTTTGCGGTGCTCCGCGTCACCATCCCATGTTTAATAATAAAGCCATTATTGTAATAATATATTTGAAATTAAATATAATTTTACATTATTTTACTAATTTACATTACGTTAAGGAACATAAATAAGTTAATAATAAATATCAATGACGCCATTTTTGTTAAAATTTGCACTTGTCCACTAACTTTACGGACAATCCTCGTGTTTTGCCTGTTTACAAGTTGATATTTACAACATTTTGAAAACCATAACACAAACAAGAGGTCAAAAAATTTAGAATTGTTTTATTTTATAGTCAAATTCGTTGAACGTCGTGGAAGTGCTACGTTATAAGCGAACATCAAACATCACGTGCACGTTACATTACATACAGTCCAAAGTTCGTACTACTGTAACAGTTATGAAGTATGATAAAATTATAACATTACATGTATATGTATGATACATAACGTATTTCTTATTCCATGCATATAAATTATAAAAACTTTATAATTAGATTTGCTCTTTTTTCTCTGTTTTTTCTTTAAAAGCGCCGGTTTTTGGTCTATTCGTCTCTTACAGAGACTGAATATTTAGGAAGACCATTATTCTTCGGGAATGAAGACACGGAAGGGGGCGCACTCTTCTCCGATGGCATCACGGAGAAAATACTTGGATACAGACCTTTGCCCTCTGGTTCTAAGTCTTGGTCTGTTTCTATCTGCAAAAAAAGAATTTGTGGAAATAATATTGTTCTCACCACTAATTATAGATTAGACAATATAACTTAAATTAGTCTGGCAACTAAAACTACCTTTTGTTTACTTCTGTGCCTTTTATACAGATACAAAACAGTAAGAAAACAGACCAATATTCCTCCAAGTACAGCAACCCACCATGGAACTGCGAAGAACAGATTTCACATATTTATCAAAAGATAGTAATTCATATAAAACTTTGTTGCACGTACATTGCCACTTATATGCTAATGCTTGTACATACAATTATATCAAACTGGCAATATAAGCGTAACAAAGCGCTTGAAATATAAAAGAGGAAGGACTAGCAATCAACTTCATTGACTTTTCAAAATCAGCTTTTGTCTTGTGAAAGAAAATTTACTTTTTAAACATAGTGGACGTGGCATTAACAAAAATAACCTTGAGTCGACTTTTGAACCTTCGGACTGGAGGTGGTAGAATTAATCTTGTTTTTATTGCAATCTGCATTCAATGTTCCACAATTCATCGACATTCTGCGGTTTTCAGCTAGGACCATTTAAAAGATTAATGAGAAAAATAATGAAAATTTGAGTTTAAAATTCATATTTTTGTGCTTTAATAGCTAAATTATCAACTTACATTTAAATGCGATCCAAAACACTCCATACCCTTTGAAGTGAACATAAAAATGGTTTGTCAAATTAGCGACCTCCTCAAGCCTGTAAAAATTGGTGTATTTTCCAGGAAATGTATATACATTTGCACAAGATGACTTGTCATAAATAGAGAGTAAATCAGAAACTCCAAGTTGGACATCTATAACAATTAGTCTAACGTAAACACTGTCCGCAATCACTTCACACCATACGTCCTCAAAATGCCTGTTTGGGGAGTGGTAATTAAATGACTGAAGATAAACGACGGCAAAATTACTGGCATTATATCTTCTCTGGCGTAGATTTACTATATTCATTTCTGAAACAAGATTATATAATAGGTTTTTGTTAGCTTTAAGAAAATGTTTCATGCAGAATTTTAAACTATATAATTTCATAAAGTAAAATTGATCTGTCCAATGATCTAACAATCATTAAAATGTTAATCTTCAAAAATCTAAAGTGAATAGCCACCTCTGACTACAAAGTTTTAAACGAGAGACTGTAATTTATACATGTTATATAGAACGGAAACCAATTAGAAGGTGTTCATGTATAAACTCACGCAAAAATCACGAATTTATCACGCAAACCAATCGATTGATCACATCATTAAATCGAAAAATAAGACAGTTATTCCTTAAATAAATAATTTAGCATACACTGACGATTCAGTAGGTATGTGTTCCAACAAGCACTGCATGAATGAACAAATTTCAATACTTACAGTAATGTCTAACGCATGTTACATTTATACTTTATAAAAAGTTTTACATGTTTGCATTATGAGAGTTACTTACGCTTGATGCAGTAATACTGAATTTCTGCGAAGTCGACTTCATTTGCAAGGTTAGCTGACGAGCAGTCTTGTGATGTGGACATCCGCTTTATATTATGAGCGCAAAATTTTAATTGTCCCGTGCACTTTTTCTGCAAGTCGAAAGTCGTCCCTGGATACTTTGTGTTAGGATATGTGACTATACAGTCTCCAATATCATTACTCACACAGCACGACCTCTGACCACTGCAGCCGCTACTTGCTTTCTTTGTTATTGTCGTAATAGAGGAAATTGCTATGACATCTTTTTCAAGCTTGAGGTTACTACAGTTCGGGTAAATAATAGGTTCTGAAGATAAGTAACATATTGTTCTGTTATACAGAGCTTCTGGGAGAGACAAATCAGCCAAAACTGAAAAACAATGCAGAAAATGCAAGTTTACTTTACCTACAACATAAAAAATAATATGCCTATTTGAATAAAAATTCCTCTTAAATAAAGATATTACATGTATCTGAAATTGTACCATTTGGCTTAATATTATATATAGTCTATTTATATTCCCTATATAATCTATAAAAACGCAAACAGTTTAGAACACTAGAAACGATCTCGTTGCGAGCAACGAGGTCTTCCGTCCGATTCTGAAATAAAAAACGAAAAATCCAGCCAAAAAAGTTATAAAAAATACGCACACACGGGGGATCGAACCCGGGTCGACCGCGTGAAAATCAAACGCGCTTTTTGTTATTCCGAACGCGCCATCCATTACGCTATCGAGGCCACTGCTCTAAATGCACTTGTATATACTTGTATATACAGAAAATGTCATAGCATTATGAAAGGCGGGCCACTATTCATAATTTTGCGCCAATCGCCACGAGTAAATTTTCGCGCCTTTCCTTTGGAATGTCTTATTAAATAGATGTGCTAGCTTCAATGAAATGACAAAAGACCGTTCTTATCTCCTAAATTTCGAGGTGTAGAAAGTATATTTAACACATCACATATCATGTAAAGGCAAGTAACACTAAAGCTTTGAAACGGCTATGAATGGTTCACTTTCTTAAATTTCCTGTTTATCACGAAAATGGACTATTCCGAATACCTACACTTTCATAAAAAATTTTGAAATGTTTCACCGAAAAAATGACTCGCCCTACGACGGTCAAGGAACAAGATACCATCTATATTCAATAACTTGGAATGAGAAAAAAATATTTATATAAAGTCAATTAAATGATCTTTTAAAAATAGTTATCTTATCTTTTAAAAAAAATTCTTTTTGTTGTCTTTTCTTCAGTTTAATATGACACAAGTGTGCACGGGAAAACAGTGGTCACATCTTATACTTACTATATATATTGTTTCTTGAAAAACCATTGCTTATAACCATGATTAAAGATCTGTTTTTCCTTGGTGTAAAACAAAACAAAAAACCAGCCAAAACCAATTAAAGAAGGCGTTTAAGAAGACCATGGATTAAAACTTTAGTTTGACAAGAATTGCAACGTAACTACGACGTGACAATCCAAGTACTCATTCACATTTCATTGATCCTTATGTTACTTTCGTTCAACCAAACGCTTGGCTGCCTCCGTAAACCCTATTCGCTAAATGGCGGAGTCTACGGAGACATCCGCCATTTTGGACCCGCTTCAGATATTCAAATTTTAATATCTCGAGTTTGGATTTATCAATTTAAAACCAAATTATATATTTAGCCTATTTAAAAGGGTGTCTATTAACCTTCCTAAAATAATTCAAAAAATATTGAAAAACAAAAAAGTAACAAAATTCGACTTTTTTAATTCTCATCTGGTAACGACCGGAAATAGAAAGACGAACAAAAGATCGCGTCCTGGATAGTACTTATCACGATCTATAATCCCTGAAAGTTTCACAGTGATATCTTTTGCCGTTCTTGAGATTAACCATGGACAAAATGTCATTTTAAAATCAGAAAATTGTCCGTAACTTGGCACCAGATAGGAATTTCCAAAAAATCTCTCAGATAAAATAACTTCAGATAATAACACATTTTTCCTGCAAATTTCATGAAAATTTGTCCAGTAGTCTTTGAGAAATCGCGTGCACAAAATTAGATGTACGGAGAAATGATAATAAGAAGAAACAGTAGAATCACTATAAGGTCTTCCGTGAAGACGGAAGACCTTAACTACTTATTCACCGTATTTGGGCCGTATTCACCGGAGAGTCGGTGCGCCTGCAGCGGCATTATGACGTCACAATCAACTAGCAAAACTCGAAAAGGAAAACACGGAGGTTACATTTTTTTTATGGCAGAAGTTTGTAAATGAAAATGGTGTCGTTATGTAGCATTCAGTGCCTTATTTATTCAAAATTGGACCATGTAATAAAAAATGGACTCTTTTGATGTTGAATATGATTTCACCAGAAAAAATATCAATATTGACACGTGTCAAAGCCGAGATCAATATCAATATTTCTCTGGCGAATAACAAACCATATTGAACATCAACAGAGTCCATAATTGTATAATATTTGACGAATTGAAGATTGATTTTACTGTACTTTGACAAAAAGGGGCATGTATTTCTTATTCTTTTGTCCCCCGCTGAAAGTTGGGTTCTTAATTTCGGTCTGTCTGTCCGACCGTCTAGCTGTCTGACTGTAACACTTTTGTTTCCACCAGAGAGAAAGACAATGAGAGAGATAGCTGCAGCTCTGTGGCGTTATGGTTTATATATGTTTATCTTTGACCATAACGCTACAGATCCCGTAATGCAAAAAAAAAAAAATGCAATTTATGGCGCAATATTTTTTGCACACTTTTGGGGAGAATTTCTCCACTTTCCAGCATCGGTCAATTCACTGTCTTTCATTCCCTAATTCTGGGCATATTATTTAACTATAAATCTGTATATTTTATCAATCTCCAAACCCTTTCCAATCGTCTCTACAAGTGACTCGCTTTATTAGAATTATTTGTCAAGCGAGTTTATTGCCCGTAGAGAGACAACTATAAATGGCTGGTAGGTGAATAAACTACACATATTGGCTACAAAATGTGTCTAAATTTAGGTAGTAAAAGGTACTTGATTGACCAGTGCTAGAAAGTAGAGAAATTCTTCCAAAAAGTGCGCAAAAATATTGCGCCGGAAATTGCACCTTTTGCAGGATCTGCAGCTAAGAGAGACAGACAGACAGACAGATAGACAGACAAACAGATGGTGTTTGTATATAAACCGTAGAATGAAGTCTTACCTACTGAAAAAGAGAGAAAATAAACCAAAGCCTCCATGTTTTAAGGAAGTATATTAAGCAGTTTCTTCATTTTAAAACTCTTAATTTAATCTGAGAACGGAATATTAAGCTGATAATGGACCATTTATCAACCATTCTTTTTTACTTACAGAAGAATTTGATAACGATTTGAAATGAAGTGAAGTCCTAGATAAGACTTATTTTGTTATTAGACCCATTAGTGTAGTTCAATCAAGTCGTTGATTGTTTAAAATACACCTATGTTAAGCAGACGCTTTTATACCTTTCTTTGTATTTCATTTGTATTAATTCTGTTATTTTTTTTAAAAATCTATCAGTAATTCATCTACATGTACATGCATAATGGAAATTCAAATTCATGCTTTTGTTATGTTTCTTTTCTTCTTAGCTCAAAAGGAAATATCAAATCAACGTAGGAATGTAAAGAATATTGTAAATTGATAAAACGTCGTCGATATACGTATATATATATATATATAATATATATATATATATATATAGGTTATATATATATATATATATATATATATATATATATATATATATATATATATATATATATATATATATATATATATATATATATATATATATATACATATTTATTATCAATCCTGCTTATATATATATATATATATATATATATATATATATATATATATATATATATATATATATATATATATATATATATATATATATATATATATATATACTGTATATATATAGTCAATAGTTCACCGAGAACCCATCTGTAAAAAAGACCTGGGGACCAGCGCAAAGAATTCTGCTCAGTAAAATCAATGCATTTTCTTTGATCCCAAAATATGTATCTAAATATTTTATCAAAAATATTGTGCAAATAATTCTTCAAAAAGGGTCTTCATACGAATTTGGACCGCTCCTGACTACTCAATAGTTTGTCCTATACTTCCAAATATATGAAGGAAAAAAGATGTCAAATTTAAAACGATTTATATTTCCATACTCAACATTTAATTCATTTATTCAATTTTAATGTTATGTTTGTAACATTTAAGGAATGTCAAATTTGCTTTAAGTGATAAATCATTCACGATAAAAGTTGGTAATCGACAAGTTCTAAACAAAACTGTTATGTTGTGAATCTATACAGCATGGAGATTATTTATATCATATTTATTCCTTGATCTTTTATAGATTGTATATACATTTTTTTAAAAATCATTTACAAGGTTAAAACCTAGACTGAACTCTACGTCAAGTATTTTTTCAATTTTGAAAAAAAATCAGACACTTTTGGAATACTGGATTGTTTTGATGTAGCCTTGCTACTCGTCACTGATACTTTTTATTCTTTCCTACTTCATTTCATGTAATTGAATTTCAATGAATTAGAAATTATCCTTGTTCGATAGATTGTCATCAGGTACATCAGTTTCTTCTCTGCGTTTTGACTTCTTCTTCTTCTTCTTCTTCTTCTTTTTACTCTTTTTCTCCGGTATGCTTTCCGTCTCTTGTACACCACTTTCCTCTATTTTCGGAAGGGCATTATTTCGTTTGTCTGGAATAAATATATCAATGGTGGTCTGACAGGGAGGAATCAAATGTTTCTCATCTGGTGTGACGAAGAAGGCGTCCTCGGGGGATGTACCTTTCTCTGTGTTTACGTCGCTTACCTGTAATAACAAAATAAATAATCTGTAAATAACAAACATAGTAAATGAATAGTAGTTTGTTGAAATTTGTCAAATAAAACAGTCAATATTAAAGTATCTTTAACATCATCAATATCTGAAAAACAAGTGAGGATTTCAATCCAAAGCGTTTAAATAGAAGTCTATAGCATGTATCATCTGCATGATGTATTTGAGGAAAAATCAGACAATGGCACAGTGTGTATTCATTACTCGCTCAATGTTTGCATATTAAATACCAAGTTTAATTTATGTCATAATATAATAGCCATAATTCAGAATAGCATCTACCAAATTTATGCCATTGGTTTTACAAAGAAAACAATATGCTTTGAAATAAAGGCTTCTCAGTGTTCTTTTAAACAATTGTTTTTACATATACAGGGTGTTTCACAATATATGTCACACATCTAAATGGTCATAATCTGAATATCGAGACAGATACCAAAAATACCAAAACACTATAGTTAAGCATACTGATCTAAAATTATTATATTGCATAGTATCGGGAAAATTATAATAAACCATGAAGTAGCTGATGATATAATCAGTGATGTCATAATTTCAGCTTTCTCAAAATTGCGTAAAATTTGCAGCAAAAATTTTTTGTAAACTTTTATTATAAGAACCGTTTAAGATTTCTTAAATATTTTACAGGGGGTGATGATAAAAAATACCTAGACCAGCAATTACTGTCTATTTTTCTTATATTAATAATAATTAGAGGTTTAAATTAAATTATAATGTAAAGATAAAAAACAGCTAAAACCTGCCTCCTCTTCACCCCACCCCCAAAAAATCAAAAAGAGATAAAAACAATATCAGAGTGAAGTCAATCAATGAGAAAACCTCATGAAAGTCAGATCTGAGTTTAGGAGATGTGTTGTAACAATGCCAGTAAGTGTATTAGGAGTATTTGAAATCTTAAGTTTGAGTAAAGTGTGTCTGCATACAAGATTTCAACGTTTAAAGTCAAATGACATAAAAGAGCCAGGGTTAAAGTTTGCAAGATTGAACAAAAGAGCAAAGAAGTACACCAATTAACACATACCGGTAGTTCTGAAACGACACATTTATTAAAATGCAACTTTAAATAAAAATGGATTTGCAATTTGGAGGTTCCAAAAGGCCAGATATAAAACAAGAAAAGTCTCAATAATCTTCGAAAACTTACAAAACAGTGATCAGAAATTTATAAGCATTAGTCTCTTAAGTTATTCAGGACAATGTTGGGAAAACACTTGGAGAATAACATTTTAGGATTTGTTGCCATAGTAACTAGAAGAGAATTTTGAATAGCATCTACCAAAAAATAATTTTGAATATATGCTCATTAAAATGATATATAAAATGTATATGTAGCTTTTGTTGTCATTTATCAAATCTGTCTTTAGATGTGTGACATATATTGTGAAACACCCTGTATGTATCAATTTGTTTATTGATACATTTTGAAAAAAAGTTCTTATCAGTACACAATATCTGCTTTTTTTAAACAGTCATGAAATTCTTGTTAGGTATGTAGAAATAAAACATATTCATCTTACTTTTCTTTGACGTTTCTTATATTTGTACACAATGCCTCCTATCATAATAAGAGCCGGGAATCCGATAATTAAAGCAATCCACCACAAATCTGAAATAAATACAAACCAGGGTTTTAGATAATGACCTTGGTTAAATAATGTCGCGTGTATGCTTAAAATATACATTTCGAGTATGTGTACAATTCTGCAGTTCTACAGCACTGTAAAATCCCCTTCTGCTTGGAATTCGAAGAATATGACTTTGTGAGACAAAGCTTGTATACAACCAGGGGAAAAATGAGTAACAATACTCGGTCTAATCACTTTTCTTTTTCTGCGAAATGAATATCATGAATATGTAAATCTACAGATAAAGAAGTAGATTGAATCCATATAAAAAGAGCCCCTTTAATTTTCATCATTGTAATAAAGTTTTTACCCCTTTTTTGATTTGTGTTATGGTTATCACAAAGCAAGTTGAAAGATTAGAGTCTAAATTATCATTAATGCATGACATGTATTTTCATTGCAGACTTTTTGAGTTGATTAGTTTATTTTACAATTTTGTCCCACTACGACATACTATGGAGTTATTTTATTTGTGTGGTGCAGGGCTCATGGGCATATGGAATTTAACTTGTCCATTGAGACGAATTTTCTGGGCTGAAAATTCGTGTGTAAGGACCTCCACTTGAACAATGATGAGTTTAAAGTATACAGCTCTAACGAAAAAGATAAAGCTTTAAGTAGAACAGTATTTAGATTTTTTTCTTTTCTAACAAAGTGGTAAAGTCCTCTAAACATTATTTAACCATTTCTCTAATTGCATTTCGCCGCCTGCATGGCGCAGTGGTTAGATCATCTGCACTAAAATTACAGAGTAAGGAGTTAATCATAATGTTGGGGGTTCGAGTCCCTCTGTGGGACGTGGGGAGCGGTCCTTCGGATGAAACCGAATATCCCGAGGTCCCGATCACAGTTGGTGTTTGTATGAACGAGATCCATTCTTTACTCCTTAATGGTCCTGATTGTCGAGTATAGGACAAAATGTCCAGCACTGTACTAGTAAATGGTGGCGTCTTAACATGAGTGAAAAATTCTAGAGAGGGACCTTAAACAACAAACAAACAAAATACTTACTATATTTCTTACATAAAAGGTTTCGAATTTTTTCATCATAATATATCTTCAAGTTGTATAAAGTTTGAATTAAAATGGAGACGTTATATTGTGAACATCTGATAAAGAAAAAAACATAAAGAGGGCATCAGACACTCTTTAGGAAGAGACTGAAATGTCTATTAGAAGACATGTGATATTTTTATCACTCTGCTTTTTAACGTCAAAACAGTTCATATAACTATGAACCATATGATATATATCGTACAGTCCTATAGGAAGCCATTTCAGTTAAATTGAGGAGGGTATCACAATTTAGCAGAAATTCATAACAAGCAATATTATTTACTAAAGGTCAACTTTCCCCTCGGGGGCAGAACCTAAATACGCTTTTTTCCAATTGTATTGCATTAAAAGGTAATACAACCAAATTGTTTTCTGAAATGAAGTATATTGGAAAGTTATTACCTCTTCCCGTGTCCCAAGTTCCTATGAACTAGTGTTAAGAGTTTTTACAGCTATAATATATAAACATTGCATGTAGTTGAGTGTAACATTGAAAATTTTCACCCCAAGAAAACTTTTGTCAACCGAGGCGCAGCCGAGGTTGACAATGGTTTTCTTGGGGTATTTTATACTGAATGTTTTAAACAAATATATATAACAGTGAAACGTGCGCGCATAAATTCTGCACAGTCGCTATTTTTAGGAATATCACCCGTCGTCAAGCAATGTTGACTGTTGCTACGCTGAAGAGCGTGGCTTCATTATTCAGCGGGTAATAGTGTTTTTTAATGAATGTTTCTCCACCAATCAGATTCAACTAATTTACATGAAAGTATAATATTGTTAAATACAGATCAGAAATAAAGTTGTCGTCTGTAAACTGACTGATTGAGAATTGAAGATGAAGAATCGCAAAGTAAGGGACTGATCCCTACGTCGCAGGTTCGAATCCCACAGTGAGACGCTTGGTCCTTCAGATGAGACCGTATAAATCGAGGTCCCGGGACTCAGTAGTTGCAGGCACGAAAAAGATCCCCCACTGTTCTATCACCGTACGTGCTGAGTATATGACAGAATTTTCTGTTCATTATCCTTATCTTTTTAATTACGATAGAAAATCAATAGGAAAAAATATGTAAAAAGTGCCGAGACTGTGCAAAGAACTACGACTACGTCCTGGTGTATAAAACCTGTGTGATAGAAGTGCAGAATCGTAAATGTGAAACAATTGTAAGACGACGAATTATGTGCCTGATATTACGTATACTTACCTAAATTGGATTTTCATAAAATTTGTGATTACATTGCTTGTTTATAAGATACATGAACTGTCATCAGTTAGTGAAGTCTATTTTAAAATTCTTACCTTTTGCAGTGTTATTTGTTGGTGGGGTTTCTGTGCAAGAGGTCTGGCTGCTAGAATTGCCAGCTTTTGCAGTGTTATTATTAGTTGTTGAAGTGCCGTTTTCGGTAGTTGTTGTAGTGCTATCTCTGGGAGGGCCTGATCTAGGATTCTTGTACGTTGTAGTGCTGTCTTTAGAAAGGGCAGGTCTATTATTCTTGTAGGTTGTATTTGTGCTTCCCGGAGAGGAGCTCGGGCTAGCATTCTTGTTGGTTGTTCTAGTGCTGTCCGTAGAAGAGCTGAGGCTCTGATTCGTGTTGGTCGTTCTAATGCTACCAGAGGAAATACTCTGACTATGATTCCTGTAGGTTGTTCTAGTGCTAAACGAGGAATAGCCCAGGCTATGATTTTTGTAATTTTTTGTGCCGTGTGTGGAATAAACCAGACTGTGGTATTTTTTGGTAAATGTAGTGCCTTCTTTAGAAAAGCTCGTTTTGGGATACTTGTAAACGGTTGTAGTACTCTCTGTTGAAGATCTCGGGTTATGATCTTTGTTTGCTGTTGTAGTACTCTCTGTTGAAGATCTCGGGTTGTGATCTTTGTTAGCTGTTGTAGTACTCTCTGTGGAAGATCTCGGGTTGTGATCTTTGTTAGCTGTTGTAGTACTCTCTGTGGAAGATCTCGGGTTGTGATCCTTGTTAGCTGTTGTAGTACTCTCTGTGGAATACCCCGGACTTTGGTACTTGTAGTTTGCAATAGTGCTGTTTGTGGTAGAATCGATTGTCGAGTTATGATCCTTATCAGTTGTTGAAACGGTATTTTTGTTTGGATTCGTAGTTTGTAACTTGCCAGAAGTTATGCCACCTTTTCCTGAACACGCTTTTTTATTCTCGTTGCTGAATGTGTTTAAGAGGAGTTTAGTTGTGCAGTTCTCATTAATGGTTACTCCACATGTGATTGATATATTCTGATTCGCTGAAAAGAGATATAATCCAGTAAAAGGGTTTATTTCATTACCTACTTTAATTGACATTTATTAATTAGGATAAGTGAATCTAAATCACAGCTATATCTATTAATGAATTAGAATATATAAAATATTGTTTATTTCAAACGGCCTACCAGACCTTTGTGCGTTACCGCGGCGGTTTTGGATTTAATACTTTCTTCTTTTTAGGAATAAATCAAAACTGTTTTAGGCAATAGTTTTCCTATGTTAGTTGAAAAATCTAATATAAAAATGTTATATGATATGCTGAATTTGATAGATTTCTTTTTTATTCTTTGAAATTCTAGAATCAATTCTAACTTTGACAATGAACTGTTTAATAAGTGATTAACATATTTTTACTGCAAGATAAAATGTAGCTCTATCCTCTTTATATTACAATTCCACTCTAACTGCATAGCTGTACGAAAAAAGTAAAGCATACAGGCTTTTATAAATTGTAAGGACAAACTATTAATAAATGATTTTTAATAAACACAAGTCATTTAATCTGAAAGTTCATAATATTTTTTTACAACTAAAAGGAAGAAAATTAAGCAATTATCTTTACTGTATCATTTATAATAACTCCCTATAAGTTTATATCTTACACACAAATCCAATCCAGAATCGAGCTGAGGAAAAACTTCCAGTTCTGTAGGAAAGGAAAACCGTATTTGTCAGGTTAAAAATGTTAACTATTTGATATTTGTTGTTGTTTTCGTATGTTATCTTGTATTCTGATTCCTTGCAGCCCTTGGCCTCTTTAAAAACAATGCTGGCATTTTCCGCTAACTTAATGTCAATAGCTACCACTTGTATAGGAATTGCTGCATCACTGACTTCAATTTGACACCACTCCTCGTCGTTAGAGTAGGTGGTGTCACACGGATACCCAGCCGACTGCAGATAAACACTTTGTCTTCCTTTCAAACTTTTATTACTTGATTGCAAAACTGCAATTTTGCTTTCTAAAAAGATATAATATAGTCCTTTTCATTAACTTTATTAATTTATGAATTCCTGACTAAATATGAATTCCCCAAAATATCATCAATATAATATAATCTAAGAGCACAATCGACTCCCTTGTCTTCTAACTTTTTATACAACATGTACAAAGAAATAATTTTATCAAATAATGATTAGTAAATTCAATTCTTTCTGAATGTATTGTGGTGATGCATGTTCATTGTCATCTTGAGCTGGCATTTTGATAAGGCAGAACTCTATATACCACTCCGGTTTCACAGGTAGGGGACTGATAATTAAAGCTGATGCCGATATTTTAAAGGTAAATAAAACTTCTGCTATTTACTACCTGGATCGGACATAACTTGAGGGACTTTTATTCTTAAAAATGTCGGTTAAAAAAAATTCTCAAGCGAATACTTGTCATTGAATCAAGTATGATTGCTAAAATAAAATGTATTGAAATAAACACGACACCTACTTTTAATGCAGAAGTAATCCACTATCATGTAGTTGTTTTCTAGGGGATATACGGTATTGTTACATCCGACACGCATCCATGGTGTTCGGACTGGTGACGGACATTTCTGATATCCATTACACACACTTTGAATTTCGTAAGTTAGTGAATCATTTGTGTTATGGTACGTCGCGTTACAGTCTCTCTCCTGATCCACCGTACAGCATCTCTCGTGATATTCAGAGTTAATTCCTGAGGACATAACATCAGAACAGTTCTTGGTTAATGGCTTGGCGGCTGCTATCACTGAAGACACTGCTATTGAACTATCATCACTTGTACAGTTAAATTGGAAGTCAACATATTCGTCCGCAACTCCATAGCAAGAGCTCTCATAGAATTTTGGTTCTGGTAAAATATGTGAAGAATATTCTCCAACAGCAGTACTTTCTCCTATTTAAATAAATGATTTACAATTAACTTGATTCATACAAGTAAATTTTATTAAGAGTGCATTCAAATTAAACGTGTTTCTTGAATAATAATAAAAAAGTGGTATAAACAAAAAGCAATATATTTCATTTTTTTAATGCGCAATGAAATGTTAACCAATATTGCAAAACACTTCCTTTAAGTATTATAATCAGTGTCTCTGATTTCTAAAACTATAGTTACAAGTACTATACTGTATTGTACTGTACAGCTTTTTTTTCAAATTGATTGAGAAACTTGCCGGCGTACTTATTATGAGGACATTGTAATTTGATTATGTTAACATGCAACATGTTTGTCAACTTCCTTCAAATCAACATGCAACTTATATTTCAACATGCAAGATGTTATAAAATACTGTTGAAAGTCAAAAACATACATTGCACGTTGACCTAATTAATTTACATGTTGGCATAATTAATTTAATTGTAATGTAAAAAGAATTATCCTTAAGTTTGCATGAATAAGTTGCATGTCTGCATAACTGTCTTGCATGTCGATAAAAATAAGTCACATGTCTACATAATTACATATCATGTTATATGATTCAGTTGCACGACAAAATAATTCTGTTGCTTCTTGGTTTTAAGGCATACTGGTTTAATAGCGATAGTTAGTAAGTTATTAACATTGAAATAAGATTCTTTAACGAGATTAGTAACTTGCATGTAGCATAACAATTTTGCATGTTAACATTAATAAGTTGTATGTCTATATTATCCTATTATAATGTAGTGTTAACAAATTGAAGGTATAATTGTGCCACCATAGTTTTGTTGTATATTGTATTACTCATATTTCTAACACTTTCCACAAACCCGTTTTGAATAAGAATAATGATTAAATTTTATCTGCCAGGAAGTGTACCTTTTCAAACTTGATAAATTGGAACTTAAAGACAATGCATGTACAATTTATAACAAATATAAGTTTTCTTTGAGAAAACAAATACACAATTCTATTATATATGAAGAAAGACTCGGACCTTTTATCTGACATATAATAAGTAACAATAGCTAACTGACTACATTTTGGGCAAAGTAGCTTTACCAAATTATAAAAATAATTAAAACAGCTTAAAACATGATATATAAAATACTTTTAATATTTTTTTTAATAACTCATCAAAAACAGTATAAAAAGACCATCAAATTCTGTCGATAACTACTAGTATTTACATTGAATATACAAATTTGAACCCCGGTTTGTCGCATAAGGTTTATATTTGAGTTCCATGCATACAGTCCACAACGCTCACACGAGTAACTTTGCCCTGCTGTTCAGAGTCCCCCCTTGTGGCCTCAACCTACACCAGGGAGCCATGACTTGAATAATTCATATTCTACACTACCCCAACACGCTTCAAAATAAGTTTCGGCTCTCTCGGTCCAATTGTTCTTGAGAATATTTTACGACCCAACCTTATTTTTGCAGTATCTTGATTATCCCGAATGTAAGGTGGTTTGTCCTGTATTTACATGTAAGAATCCCCTTTACTCAGAGATGAATTGTACCAATTTTGGTGATACCTCACCCATTTTTTCCTGAGAAGATGTTGAAAACGTAAACAGTTTACAGACAGACAGATGGACACTAGCTTATAATAGACTATGGGTGAATAGAGAAAAAACTCACTTGAGTTTTGAGCGCAAAAGTAGAAATTTTAAAGACATTAAAAATATATAAGACAGTCATTAATTTCTTTGAAATCTGAAAGTCCGCACTATTTCCATTTAGTGTGTGCGTTATGGCAACGCACTTTGAGAAAAAAAACGCATTTTGAATTTTTTAAAAGTGCATTAAAACTGATACAAAACCAACGCACTTAGAATTTGTTCATAGTACGTTAAATATGGGACAAAATCTAATGCATTGATCTACCATCATCGAGAAAAAGACAAGTAGAAGACTCCTCGGGCAACCTCTTTATCTTTCCTGCCAACATGTATGTATTTACGAAATTAGAGTATATAAATAAAGTAGATGAAGAAATTGAGGTATATTTTCCTGAAGAAAAAAAAAGCATTGGGTTATATTAATGAAGAGTGGATGAGGCACCATATCACTGATCTAAGCAACAGTCCCCAAAGTAACTGTATTTTGGCCAAAGTAGCTTAGAATACTAAATAGAATACACAATAATAGTATAAAATGTATTGATAATTATTTTTCCTCTTTACACTTACCAAATAACTTTTTCAAAGAGCTATCATGTTGTGCGGAAATAAACAATTTTATTTAGGCCTCTCAAATAACGATAAAAAGATCCTCCTATTATATATACAGGAAAATTATTTTTATTGTGCGTACAAACTTGGACCCCATTTTGTCGCATTTCTCGTACATGTATCCTTCAGGTCATATTTGAAAAAAAGTACAAAAAAACTTAATAGGTAAAAAAGGTAGTCCTTGGTGAATTGAATTTTAATATTTAGTTCTTTTAAAATTGAAAGTCCATGTTCATTGTCATCATACTTACAAAAGGCATTGGAGCCCGGGGATGGTAAAGGAGTCGGTTAAGCCCCCTACCCCACTTTTTTGCAAAAGATATACATAATATACGCATTTGCAAGAATATTGACCAAACCGTGCATATTTTTCAGAAGTGCATTAATATGGTCGTACTATATAAAAATGCGTTTACTTTCTTCTAAATTTAAGGAACTTTTAAAAAATTCGAAATGCGTAATTTTTTTAAATTGCTTTATATCAGTTAGATAATAACGTACTTTGAAAATAAATTCTTTTTCTCAAAATGCGTGAACTTGGTCCCACATATAATGCGATTTGAAGATTTTTTTCAAAGTGCGTTTTTTAGCTAGTGACTTGATTTAATGCACATGTGGATGATACACGACTTTTGGGGACTTTTTTTTACTTTAAAAATAGTAGTTTTTTATTTAAGGTAGACATTGTAATTATGACAATATGTTGTTTCGAATATTTTGTTGCAAAAGTGCAAAACATAAAAACACATCAAACGTATACAATAGAGAATGCACAATATAAAGCCAATGGCATCTTACATGTACTAAGTCATCTCAAACAGTAAAGGATTCCGTAATTTTGCAAGATCATAATTAAATCTGATAAAGTTGTTAAATTTTTACATACCTGCAAACCAGTAAATAATTACAAGTAATCCCAACATTGTCAACGTACTTTTCTCATGGTGGTTTAAAAAAATAAGTGGAGTTAAAACCCTTAAACATATGAGTTTCTGATAAGTACCTTATCTTTCAATGTATTGAATATTTAATCAGCACAGATATTGATTATTTTTTACTGTTTTTACTGGTTATCAAAAATTCTAACTTTGTTCGACAGGGTGTTAATTGATTCTTAGTATGCTTGTGCATATACTGCTCAGGCGGATTAAGAAAACGATACATTCCACTTATGTCAAGCTATATGTACATGGATATCCGAGCAAGTTACAGCATTAGATAATTATGATCTTAAACATATCTCAATGGCTAAGCCTAGCCTTCAATACTTAAATATAGGTGCAATGAAAGCACAGCTCAATTGTTTTGTTATTTATATATAGTATTATATGATTCTAACTGCTATATATTGAAACTTAATATTCCGTACTAAGTGAAATAAAAAAAATTAAGAATATTGCATTTCTAAGTAAATATTTACAACTGTGCTCACTTACATAACTCTAAAAAAATGTTGATTGTTTTTCCCATGCTTACGACTAAATGCTAATAAAGCCAAGTGCCTAATATAGATGTCGATCTCCCTCGGCCGTGCCCGGGTAGTCCAGTGGTAGAACTCTCGCTTCTGACCGCTGCAATCCGAGTTCAATAGATCTGATCGACATTAGTTGTTTGTGAGAGGTAGTCGCTTGGACAAGTGGGTTTTCTACGAGGTTTCTCCCACAGCATGACGTTCACAGAAATAGTATTCACAATCCAGTAAATGGAATTGGACAGCAGACAAAGTCTAAAATTGCCCTCTCCCTGTGTCCACAGAAATGTCCCCTCGTGCAACATCCGTGCAAAGGACCTCATTTGAGACAAACTTTCGAGCTTAAATGAGGAATACTTAGTATAATAAACGTGCATTGACACATTTACGTATATTGTAGACATGTATAGAGAAAAAATACATACTCTTTTCCCATATTGCATCTTATATAAGCCGGAGACACCAATACATTTATCAGTCAGAGGGCCGAAGGCTCTAGGACTGACATTGATCGAGGGCTGATACACGATGTGATGTAGAAAAGGATATGTTTTATTTTGTTTATTACATACTCAGTATACAATTATAAAATACAGAGCACATCAACTTGAGAAATAAATAATCATGGACGGATTTCTAACATGTACATAGCTTACTGTTTTTGTTGATTTATGCTTCTTTTGAGCATTAGTTGGTGATAGAAACTTAATATTACACCTGTAACATGGCCTCAGACGCCGAAAAAGGGAAAAAGAAGAGTAAGAAGAGGAAAAAGTTGTCTAACTCTGTGAATTCCGATGTAAGTGACAATGAGGGTAGCTTGGCGCCATTGGTCAGTGATGTCATAAACGAGGTAAACAAAGTACTTTATGGTGAATCTTTCCAAATACCTATACCTACCTCTGATCAAATACCTATACCTACATCTACACGGACATCTGAATTGCCATCCCCACTGAGTGCTAATCCACAGAAACATATAGTAACCTTTGTTGATGTACAAGCTAGACTTGTTGTCCTACAGAAAGAGACAGAATCGACAAATCAAAAGCTGGACTTCATCACTAGAAAATTGTGTAAACTGGATAAGATCGAGTCCAAAATGGGGGAGCTTGAAAAATCTGTCAGAAGTCTGAAGTACCGGGTGGAAGATGTTGAAGAGAAGAATGGAGACATTGAGAAATCTGTCAAATTCTTATCCGACAAATTCGACAAATATGAGAGTGACAATTCACATCTTACTACATTGTCGAGTCAGATTCAGACAAAACTAAGGGACCATGAAAAACATTTACTTGATATGCAGAAATATGTGAAAGATCTTAAACATTCCCAGGATGTTGCATCTGCTGGAGCCAATAAAACACAAACAGAGTTAAACAGACATGCCAACATGATACAAAACATGGCCCAGAACCTAGATCAAGTGAGAAGGGTCAACAAGCAGACAGATGAGCATATTACTGACCTACAATACCGCTCAATGAAGATGAACCTGATATTCGACAATTTGGGGTACGAAAGTAAAGAAGAAGACCTTTACTACAAATTGAAGTGCTTCCTATCCAATGAAATGGGTATCCATAGGCATATAGAGTTCATTAACATCCACAGATTTGGGCGTCACCGTCGAGGATATAACAGACCTATTGTAGCAAGGTTCTTATATCAAGGTGACCTTGACTTGTGCCTCAAGCAGTCATCACGCCTGCGATCAACTCCATACCGAGTGTATAGGCAATATCCATCAGCCATGGCAGAAAAGAGGCGTTGTCTAAAGCCGATAATGAACAGACTGTGGGAAGAAGGTGACAGAGTAAAACTGGTGCGTGACAGACTGTATGTTAACGGAGAACTATATGAGGGTGACGAGGCCCAGTGGTACGATGAGGAGGAGAACTCCGAACCCGATGTTGAGACCATGGAAAGATAGGATCTTGCGGTCGCGGGACCGATTTCAAAATGCAATGACTTGGACACTATCCGCGGCCTTAATCCGCTCCGGGTACTTTCTTGGAACATTGGCAAAGGACTCAAGAACAAGCAAACAGAAAGTGAATTTATTGATATAGTTAATTCAGCAGATGTGGTTTGTGTTTCTGAAAGTTGGATAACAGAAAATGATTGTAACATAATTTTTGTAGATGGTTATGAATCACTTAAATTTCCTCGTAAGACTGGTAGAGGAGGTGGTTTAGTTATATTTATTAGAAAAGAAATATTTAAATATGTCTGCTTATTAGAAAATATCTCTGATACTATAGTAGTGTTAAAACTAAATCATGTTCAGCTCAATGGTAAACCTATATACCTTATTTTCTGTTATTTTCCTCCCCATGGAAGTGTTTTCTATGAGCGAGAGGAAATTGACTTATTCCAATGCTTATATGATCTTCTTGTTAAATATAGTACTTATGGTCATATATTTATATCGGGTGATTTCAATGCCAGATGCGGAGAAAATGATGATTATATCACCAATGATAATATTAATGAAAATATTACAGATACATTACAACCTTTCTACTTATATACTTCTGACATTTGTAACATTGAAAGAAAAACACAAGATAAATGTATTAACCATTATGGTAGACAATTGTTAACATTATGTAGAAGTGTAGGTTTACGAATAGTTAATGGTAGACATCCCGATGATCTTAGTGGTAGTGTAACATTTTGCAGTACAAATGGAACAAGTGTTATTGATTACCTTCTATGTGAACAAGATATGATACAGAATATTGAAAAATTCAATGTTGGTACATTTAATACTCTCTCTGATCATTCCCCATTACTCTTCCATGTAAAATGTGATAAAAGTAATTTCGGTAACACAAAAGAATGTACAGATATAAGTAGGAATGTTCGGACTGTAAGTAAAATTGTAAAATGGAACGAAGCGAACTGTACTGAAATTACAAACGCTCTCCAACATAATATGTCAGAGTTGATGAACATTGTTAATACACCTATATGTAATCAGAATGAGGTAAATAGTTGTGTTAAATCCTTTTGTGATGTTATTAACAACATTGTGTTACCTCAGTGTGATAGACGAACTCCCAGCAGCAATGGAATAAGATATAAGAAAACTGAAGATAAACCATGGTTCAATGATGAGTGTAAATCAAAATATATGGAATATAAGAACGCACTTCATAACTCTAATAAGTGTAAATCTACAGAAAATCACCAATCTTTGATTCACTATAAAACAATTTATAAAAAGTATGAAGATAAATGTAGGAAGTATTATAAGAGATATGAGGGAAATTTATTTGAATATTTAAGGAAGAACAATCCTAAACACTTTTTTAAGCTTTTCTCAAAAGATAAAAAATCATGTACTGATAGGTCAATATCTATTGATGAGTTTGTGGAATACTTTCAAAATTTGATGGATGATGATCATAGAAGTTTTGATGAAAGGGATCAACCGTCAAATAATGATATAACAGGGGATGATATCGGGGGAAGAAGTATATGGAGCAATTAACAAATTAAAGCGCAATAAGAGTTGTGCAGAAGATTGTATGTTGAATGATTTTTTCATTACATGTAAAAGCCATATTATACCATGTCTAGTTAAACTTTTTAATTCTATATTTAGTACTGGGTATTTTCCAGAATCGTCGGCTCAAGGTTACATAGTCCCTGTATTCAAAAAGGGGGACCCCAATGACCCCAATAATTATAGAGGTATCACATTGACTAGCTGCTTAGGTAAACTTTATACATCTGTCTTAAATAGTCGTCTATTAAAATGGGATTTGGAAAACTCTATATTATCAGATGATCAGTTTGGTTTTAAACCAGGTTTCTCTACTACTGATGCCATTTTTGTTTTACATACAATGATTACCAGACAATTAAGTCGCAGAGGTGGAAGACTATATTGTTGTTTTATATACTATAAAAAAGCATTTGATTTTATAGATAGGAGCAGCCTGTGGGTTAAGTTAATAAAACAGGGCATTGAAGGAAAACTATTAAAAACAATAAAATCACTATATACCATTGTTAAATCATGTATTAAGTCAAATGGTGTGATGTCTGAATTTTTTGAAAATAGAGTTGGTCTATTACAGGGTGAGGTGTTATCACCAATATTGTTCTCTCTTTTCGTGAATGATTGTGAATTACATTTTATAAGAAACAACTGTCCATCTTTTGAGTTCAATTTACTCAACATGTTCTTGCTTATGTATGCTGATGATATGGTACTAATGGCTGAATCTGCTGATTCACTGCAGAAATTGTTAGACTCTTTACTTTTATATAATCAAGAATGGAAGTTGAAACTTAACACTGAAAAAACAAAAATTGTTGTGTTTAGAAATCAAGGAAATGTAAAGATATCTGAAAAATTTATGTACGAGGATAAAGAACTTGAAATTGTCAATGAATTCAATTACCTAGGTATGCTTTTTAATTATAATGGGAAATTCAATATCACTCAGAAGCATGTTGCCGATCAAGGTCGGAAGGCATTTTTTGCAATTAACTCAAGAATGAATAATTATTATCTAAACATAGAAACAAAATGTGCAGATTTTGATACATATGTGA